AGGTGTTATGAATGATGCTTAGAAAGCTAGCTGATATATATATATATATATTACAAATTTATAGTCAATAAATATTTATCATCAGTAAAAACTGAAATTTCATCTGACTTTTACCTTTAATAAATTAAACTGGAATAAATATTTAATGGTCTTCCATGTTTTTATAATACGATTAATAGAAAGGGAAATTAAAATTACGTGTAATTATAAGGAGTATCAGTTACTTGTCCCATTTTTCAAATATTTAATCTTAGAAAAAAGACTACATTCTTAGATAAATTTTACTTTTATAATTTCTAAAAACAAATTAATCTTAAAATTATAAAAAAGCATGCATAAAAAGTTTTAGCTTATTTTTTTAAAACCAGAAAATGAAGCTTTTAATTTGTTAATTGTTGTTTCGTGTATCACTTAATAGAATTTTTTTTTCCAATCTTTTTTAAACATGATTCAAATATACAAAATAAATTATATTCATTTCTTAATAGAATTTTTTTTTCCAATTTTTTTTAAACAAGATTCAAATATACAAAATAAATTATATTCAAATGAAATCTTAAAAATAATATTAAAAAAATCTTCAAAGTAATATTTTAATTTTTATCTGTTTTAATGGTGATAATTTTCCAAATAGTTAAAAATTGTCAGCAGATGTTAAGAGTTAACTTTAAAAAAAAGTCAATTTTTTTATTCATTATTATTATTATCATACAGCAGAGTGTCTACATTTCTCTCTTAGATGGTGATACACTTTTACAAGTTTTGTAGCTTTATCTATTCCTAATCTATTTCATAGTTTACTCCACACCAAACCGAAAGTTGAAAAGTGTCTTTCGATAGAGACAGAGGATGCTGGTGCTGTGTATAAAGAAAAAAGAATTGGCAGAAATTTTGTGAAAGCTTGGAATTTTTTTCATTTTTTTTTTTTTTTTGCCATAATTTTGCACTATTTTTTGATGAAACCTGTTGAATAACGGTGTTAAGCATCATTGATTTTGTAAAGTATTCTGGATCGTAAGTTTTGAATGCCATAACACCTGGCAGAAATTCTTCATGATGCTTAGAAAGACAGTTTTCTGCTAATTGCTCTTGTTCACCATTTAAAAATTGTCTCCTTGTTTCGGAATCCAAGATGCATATGCTAATAAAAGAGGTGGCTGAACAGCCTGGTGGAATCTTTTTACAAAATGTTTATGGGATTCTAATTCATCCCACGATAGTAAGTTAATTCATATTTCAACAGCTTCTGAAATTGAAATGTTTTCTGATTGAAGCTTTTTTAAAGCTTCAGAAACAATTGATATTTGTTTTTCCAAATTGATAGTTTATTGGTAAAGCCCAACATTATTTAATATTTTTAACATATATATTCTTCATTTTGATGTTCAAGAGCCATCTCTTGATATTTATGGTAATTATTGGCATAAGTTTTTACACGGTCACAATATGAACTTTTTGTAATTGGGGCATCAAGCACTTTTTTCATTTGCCCATCCATGTGCTTGATGCACGATGTGTCCAGTGATAGTATTAGGAGAAACTTCTTTTTCAACCAAATTTCAGAAAACCAATTTGTGAAAAAACCCACCAAGTGGGTTTTTTCAAGGTGGGCCCACCCAATAAAAACCCGGGCGGGTTTTTTCAAAGTGGACCCACCTTGAAAAAACCCTGGTTTTGAATATCTACGTGCAGACATATTTTCGAAATGTGAAGAGTCTGCAAGTAGACTGCATATTCTTTATTTTTTCTTTATATATACATAACTCTCTTTGAACAGTAAACCCAATTTTTTGAGTTTATGACCACTAATGTTTAACTCTGTAGCCTTGTTATTTTGAACCCAATCGAGATGACGAGGGAACTCCTAGATCAAGTATTGAGAGAAATTTGCCTTCGAGGAGAACATTTTGATGAAACTAATCCACATCTGTGTTATATGCTGAGGACCCTGTTGCAGAATTTTCTTGAGCTATCTGCAGCAAAACTCTCTAGCATTAATATCTTTCTGCAGGATGCTTTCAATAATAACAAACATATATGTTACTAATTTAAAATTAAAAATCGCTGTGTTTACAAAAAAAAAGGAAAGAAGGTATAACTTTTAATTAAACATGTAATATTTTTTTTCTAAAATATCGGATTTACAATCTATGGAGAAATCAATAGCAATAGCTGCAAAAAAATCGATAGAATCATTATCTTAAAAAGTAAATTCTCAAATGCAAGGTTTGAATTTTCCATATTGTTTGAAATATATCGGGATATTTAAAAACTACTAAAAATCAATAACTAATGAAAATACAATAAAGAAAATTTTTGATTTGCGATACTATCGTCGTAAATTGAGCTCGCAAAAAAGTTATCTAAATGCATGATTCAAACTTTACGTGTAAATTTCTGTAGAAGACTTATCTTCTTTTTTTTTTACTTTTCAAAAGAAATATCTTCTTGCAAGAACTCTGTAATGTTCTGAGACAATGTCGCCAAGTCACTATGATTCTGCCATTGGGGCTGAGGAAAACCTCCCATGGTTAGGGGACTCCAACCCATGATCTGTCTACCACTGAGGATAATTTATGTCAGCACCGTGACTGGTGCAAGCCGGATGTGAAATTCGTATCGACCAGTCATCGCTGGAATTCTAATCCAATTCACCTTATTGGAAGGCAAACAGTCTATTCCCTGAGCCGTCGCGGCTCCTTATTCTTTGTTAAGGAAATCATTTTCGCTTGTAACGTTTTTTTAAATCTTTTATCTGAATTCATTTATGCTTGAGGTACAACTACTAATCTCTCTTTAATATGCATCAATGATTATGTAATGCTTTTTTTTTTCCTAGGCTGGTGCTTTTCAACCTTTCTTCAGGGCTCATTCCCACCATGAAACAAAAAGGCGTGAGCCTTGGTTATTTGATGATCCATACAAGAGCCTGATGCGTGATGCCATCCGCCTTCGTTACCCGTACATTCCCCTCTGGTACACGCTGTTTCATGAGAATGAGTTCACTGGGGTCCCTCCTATGAGGCCCGTCTGGATGGAATACCCAACTGAATCCATAACATTTGAAATGAACGATGAATATATGATAGGTTTGTGACGTCCATCAAATTACTTTATTATGATTTATTTGCCTAAAGTATAATGGAATCATTTGATTGGAAAAAAAATTGCAAGGCATTCAGGGTTACCACTCCACAGGGAGAACAGGGAAAAACCTGAAAAATACAGAGAATTTAAAACTCTCCTAAAATAGCGGGGATAATGTAGGGAATTTTGAGTTTTTTCTTACAGACTGGGAAAATACAGGGAATTTTATTTCTTATTTTTGTCTTTTAAAAGTGGTGACTACTCAAAGCGTAATCTATGAGATATTTGAGGATGATATTTTAGCTGTACTAAGCTATTTTATTTACTATTGCATTATATGTTTTAAGCATGTTAAGCTGTACCTTACTTTTGTTAAATTTACCAGCAATTAGCTAGACTAATATATGTCACTCAATAGTACAGTGATTGTGTGTTTCCTCTTAATATATTATGTATAATTTGTGCGGGGAAAACACAGGAATTTTTTTTCCCGATTTGAGTGGCAACCCTGACATTTTTCCCTATCACGGAGTTTTTAATCAAAATTCTCCAAGAAACAATAAATTTGGCAGTGGAGGTTCATCTCTACTATCAACATCGCTTCTTTTAGGAATTTCTAATTCAAATTTTAAATATTTATTTTCAACGTTAACAGCCTATAAAACATCTTTGATTTTTTCTGTTCTCTTCTGCTATTGTTTTTCAGAATAAAAAGCATTTTTCTTGATAGCTGTAAAAAAGTCTGGCTTCTAAAAATAGATCTCAACTCAGGGGTAAAGCTGAGTAAAATGAATTATCGAAGTGATTCGAATTAGTCGAATTAATTCACTTAGGTGATTCAAGTCATAATCACAGATTGAATCAGTTACTAGTTCGAAACAAATTTTGATTTGTGTGCTAATTCGAATCAGTAATTGATATGATAAATCTATAAAAAAAATTATTAAATATTTAAAAAAAAATTTTTTTAGCATTTTATTTGTGACATAAATGTAGAGTTAGGTACTGATCTGGTGATCCAAATCAGTTGATTTGAATCACTGTGACTAGTAATACAACTAACTTTTAATAAGTATGTAAGTAATTTAGATTTTTTATTTTGCATTTTTATTTATTTATGATGAATTGATCGGTATTTTCAGACTTTTTGTTCCCCCCTCTCTCTTTTGCCTGCTATTTTAAAAATTCTTTTTTTTACAAATTTGTATAAATTCTTATCCCGAATCGCATATATTTTTATGTATTTTGTGCTATTATTTTTATAGGTTCCTCTCTCCTTGTGAGACCTGTTTTAGAAGCTGGTGTTTCTAGTGTCAATGTTTATTTTCCTGGCCAAAATGATGTGAGAACATTTTCATTACATTTTGTATACTAAATTTTATTGTTCCTTAATCTGAATTACCATTTGTGTGTCTCTTCTATAGGTTTGGTATGACATAACAACACACCAAAAATTTGAAGGAGGAACTACTGCTACTATAGCCACCCCTCTTGAAAAGGTGACCTTCCTGTCTATTTTATACTCTTTATTCTCATCATTCTATTTAAGCAATTGTGGAAAATATTAAGTTTGCTTAGAAATACATGTGTTGTGCCACTCTTCAGTCCCGGGGACTGAAATTAGTCTTGAGAAAAATCAGTGGATTAAATTCCATCAATATCGCTTTCCCATTTGTTGACTTAAATTAAAATTAAATTCCTTTTCTTTCCTTAAAAATTTAATATATTTTCTGGTAAAAATAAAAAAGTTACCTTTTACTTAAAGCATTGTTATTTTTCACAATTATTGCAAAATGATCAAGTAATGATGTCACACTGCAGTGAAAGATTAGGGTTAGTACTATTGCTGAATCTAAATCTGCTTAAGTTAGCATTCCCTCACCCAAGGTATTAGCATGCTAGCTGAAGATAAATCATGATTATTTTTTTTAAAATTGTAGTGCTAGGATGAAATGAATAATGAAGTGAAAAATAAGTAGAGATATGAATGATTTCATGACAAGTTTAGTAACTTTATTATTCCGATATACAAGATTAGCTGCTATTTTGTTTTATTTACCAAAAATTTATTAAAGAAAAATTTTTTAATTAAGCCAAATGATTGATTTAGTACATAGGCCATTATCCACTGAGAAGTAAATTCTGGTGTTTGTGAGTTATTTCTGAAAATTCCTGTGAACAATGCTGTACCTACCTTATTAATTTGTCAAAAAATAAATTCAGTCTTGAAATATTTTTAGAATGGCACCTATGGAAATACGTAGCTTAGAAGAAAATAAACTCATAAATACAAATTTTTTTTTTATTAAACTAGTTTTTAAGCATTGCATTAAAAAAAATTATAAGTTTTAATTTCTTACATTTTGCAATATGATAATTTTTTAGTGCATTTCTTGACATTTTGATCATGAAACAAATTTCACTAGTCTAAATATCAGCTATTAAAAATATCCAAAATGTCACTTGTATGAATTTTCTTTCCTTTTTTTTTGAATGATTTTTAATTGTAATTAAAAACTCCAACCAACGATGGCAAGTCTAATTATATTTTTACATTGTTCACGGTTGCCGCAGGCGACTAAAATGCAACATTGCTACTTTTTTTTGCCTAAAAAGGTTTTTTTTTTTAAAAAAAAAGCAATTAATTTCAGGAAAAGGAGACTATTGGGAAACTTTTCTGTACTCCTAGCGATGTTTTTTTTTTTGCATAAATTGGGTTAGTAGCAATTTTCAAGAGAAGGAGACTATTGGGAGACATTTCTGTACTCCTAGCAATGATTTTTTAACATAAATTGGGTTGAAAACCTGCGGCCTGCAAGAGCTTATAAACACACTGAATTTTTTTTCCTTAAAAATAAAAACTTTTGAAAATTTTGAATGGCAAATTTGAGTTATCACTTTTTAATCTATTCAATTATCACAGATTCCATTGTAAGTCTATTTCGTTTTTCGATCCCCTTTTCAACGGTTATTGCTACGAAATTCCACATGATTTGAAAAAAAAACTAATTTATAATACGCTCTTACAATGCGTGAATTTTAAAAGGGGAAATTTTTTAGAAAAAGTATATATTTTTTTAATGAAAAAGTATTTTTGCAATGAAATGTAAGTATTTTTTTGAATAAGTTCTAGTAAATAAAAGTATTTGCAAATATACTAATTGTTTGATATAAAAACTTGTCAATTGAACAATTAAGTCATTTAATAAAATTTTAGTCATATTTTTGATGAATTTTTGTTCTTATGTAGGCAACTATTTTCATGCTTTAGGCTACTAAAAGCAACTATTTTGTTTATTTTTTCTATGGCAACCCTGCATTGTTAAAATTGTACCAAATGTTGTTTAATATATTGGACACCTGATACATTGGAATCTTAGAAGAATAGGTCCTTAAACTACTATGTCTGTGCATGACTGGAATACTCAGTATCTGTACCATCACAGAGTGTTTTGATTATATAAATGATATATTATATATATAGTATTATGATTTATTATAATACAGTGAACTCTCGCTACTACGATATCTGATACAATAATAACTCTCTCTATTATGATAATGTTTCATGATCCTGACAAATTTTCATATGAATTAATATTATTCTCCTCTCAATATTACGATATCCTCTGAAGCAATAAACCTCTGTAAAACGATTTTTCTCTCTCCAATGATGTATTATGATTTATTGTAATGCAGTGAACTCTCGCTACTACGATATCTGATACAATAATAACTCTCTCTATTAAGATAATGTTTCATGATCCTGACAAATTTTCATATGAATTAATATTATTCTCCTTTCAATATTACGATATCCTCTGAAGCAATTAACCTCTGTAAAACGATTTTTTTTTCTCCAATGATATATTATGATTTATTGTAATGCAGTGAACTCTCGCTACTACGATATCTGATACAATAATAACTCTCTCTATTATGATAATGTTTCATGATCCTGACAAATTTTCATATGAATTAATATTATTCTCCTCTCAATATTACGATATCCTCTGAAGCAATAAACCCCTGTAAAACGATTTTTTCCTCCAAATTTCAACCTTATTTTCTCCATTTATAATTGATTTTCAAATGTAAAAAATCTTATTTTATCATCTTTCGGCATTTTTTCTGACTGGAAAAGACCCACTGCTGACCACCCCAAAAGTTTCCTTTTCTTAGAATTGCCTCCCTTATCTCTTAAGAAGTCACAGATGTAACATTCCTATATAATTTTATTTCCTCGTGTTAAAAGCTGATTATGAGTCACAAAAGACCACACGCATCACATTAACATCTGATAACATAACTTCAAATGGATTTTTTATGTAATACAGTACAGAACCCGTTATCCGGAAAACCAAAAAACCGGAACGAAATTCGATAAATTTTCCCGCCATTTTTTTAAAAAAAATGTTTTTTTCCTCATAGGATTTTAGGATTTTTCTTTCTTTTTTAAAAGATGTTTATCTTACCATCATTTTGGAAATAATCATTAGTGTATTACTTCATCGTTTTTTCTTCTTTTTAAGATTATTTCCAAATATTTGTTTTTTAGTTGGGTTAAACAATTAAAAAAAAACGGGTTTTTGTAGCGATTCAGAAAACCAGAAAAATCAGTTATCCGGAATAGCGATGGTCCCGATCGTTCCGTACAATCGTTTCCCTACTGCATATATATATTTATAGTTAGTACATATATAACATTAAAATTAAAAAAAATCTTATTGTGTCCCCAAAACATTGTTGTACCAATGTTTTACTGTATATATATAATATATTATATGTTAATCTTACAAAATTAAAGTCAGAAGAAACATAACTGAAATGGAGTATTTTTATTGCATTAATGATAGGAAATTTGTTCTAAAAATTTACAGTGACTTCTGCTTGCAACGTAAAGAAATATTCATGTATATTCTGTTATAGATCGATTATTTTCCTTAAATATTTCTAAGATTCAATTACTGTAATTTTAAGAAGTGCTCTCTAATTTTTATGCGTAATAATTTTATTATAATTTTTAAAGAAGCACACTGATTTCGTGCACTGTATAAAAACCATCTCTCTCTCTCTCTCTTAAAAAATCATTATTTTACTAGTTCCTTCTCAATTTATTACAGTTATTGCACTAACTGTGAAATTGCGAATTTTTGTGTTATAAAAATATATATATTTTTTTTTTGTATTTGAAAAGTAAAAATATTTTAAATAGTTAAAATGTATTTTACAATGGTTGTAAAATAAGAGCAATAGAAATAGCATTGCATTTTCTGTTACTCTTTATAAACTGAACTAGGCTTTTTATGTCATTTTTAGACAATATTTTAGGATTTTGATTCTCTGAAATACTGATATTCATTGATAATCTCATATTTATTTTGAAAATTTGCTTTACTTTATGCTAAGGAAAATATATGAAACCAAATGATATAAAATATATGGAAGGGAATGGTTTTTCTTTGACTGTATTAAAATATTGTGCCTAAATTAGCGACTTATTTTAGACTTCTGAATGTGGACTATCTAAAAGGAGTTTGAGATACATTTTTAAAACTTTTCTCAAAAAATATGTATTATCTTGCAATTTTTTGCGCATTTAATAAGTGCATAAAAAATGCTCACAAATATTTTGTGTAATAGTTTTAAGAAATAAACAAAGCATAGATTTGTACTAAAAAGAATATTATACTTTAATTTATCTGTAGCATTATTTTGCTATTAGTATTTTAAAAACTTCTATTGTTAAAATTGCATATTTTGCTTTTTTATATTTTTAGAACTTCTTCTGACAGCAAGTATTACGATTAATATGCAGGCATTAGAAAATTCATACAGTTGTCTTTTGTTTGAGATAAAGCATTCTAAAATTGGAAAGAAAATTTAAAAGGCTCCTTACCATTTCGAATTGAGTACTTGTGTGTTAATTAAGATAGAATTATCAGGGGTCTATCTAAGGCAAATTTACTACCGTTTAGGGGTATCTTCACAAATTCACCTTTAGGAAAAGCTGTTTTTTTCACAAAATAATATTAAAAAAGCAAGTTCTGAGATTCTCCTTTCCGCTTCTTAAATTTTTGTTTTTATGTCTCCTTAAAAAAACAATAAATCACAGGTTAATTGCGCATTTTGACTTGCAATTATTTCGACTATATAAAGAAAAAGATATAGAAATTTACCAGTCATAAATGATTATATTTGTAGTGACAATTTTTAAAAATATTTTCTTTCTTAACCATATTTTTGTGTTAATTTTTAATTTTCACAAAATAGGTACCTTTTAAAAAGCCTAGACAAACCCCTAACTATATTTTTTCCTATTTGTAAAAGATTCTCTCTCTCTCTCTTTTTTTTTTTTTTTACAAATTCAAATTTATCCGGTCACTCTTAAATCAAACTTGTATAACACCCATTTTAATATATTTTATGTTTGATATATCTCATCATTTCTGTGTTTTTCAGATTCCTGTATTTCAAAGAGGTGGAAGTATTATACCAAAAAAGAACAGAATAAGGCGTAGTGCATCACTAACCTACAATGATCCTTATACTTTAGATATTGCTTTAGATAAAGCTGTAGGATTTGTGTTTTTCTTTTTTTTTCACTATTATTTATTTATAATGACATGAATTTAATATGTTCTTAAATTTATACTATGGTTTTTTAGGGTAGCTTTGCCAATGGTACCTTATACATGGACGACTTTGACTCCTTCAGATATCGACAAGGAAGTTATTTGCTACTTAAATTTACTTATGATAAAAATTATATTAATTCAAAGTGAGTCTGAGTTTGCTTCTGAATTCAGTTTTTTCTAGTAAACGTTTATTTTTCACTAACTTAAATTTAGCTTTTGATAATGCATGGATCATAAACCTTAAGGAAAGCCAGAAAACCAAAAATTGGAAATTTCTGATAATAAGCTTAAAAAAAATCTGAGAAAATGAAAATCTTTGCTAATAACCTAAAAAAGAAGTTAACCAGAAAAAAAAGAAGTTAGAAAAGACTCATTAAAAAGTTTTTACTCAAATCTGTCCTACAAAATTATTAATTTTCATTTACTATATTGTTATTTGCTATATTGAAATTTATTGACAATTGAAATATCTATAATGTTAAATTTAATTTTTCTGAAACGAGATTCTTAATTGAATGGAAATTTTTTAATTAGCGTAATTTTTTTTCACAGTTTAAAGGTTATTGATGACAGTCTTTTGTTAACAATTCTTAAATATGTAAATATTATTGTTATATTTTGAACCCATAAAGAACCTGGAAACGTCAGTTAATTCTCCTGGGTAAAAGAGGGTTAAAATTAAATTTTTAAACCTTTTTGAAATATATAAGTTTGTTAATCTTCCTATGCAAATACACTGGTTATCATAAATTAAGGAAAAATCACAAAAATAGCGATAACTCTTTCAAAAGTAAGCCAAACCGTNAGTTATTTTCACTATAGCAATTAAGCTAACAATTTTATGTTAGCTTAATTGCTTTTAGTGAAATTAGGTAGAAATTTTACAATATTGAAATTTTACAAAAAAAGTGAGGGTGAAAAATAAAATATTTTGGTGGGCAAATTATTGTACATAAAAAAAAAGTGCTTATTTTTAATACTTGATTTGCAGAGGTCTTAATACTGTAATTTTAATGATAATAAATGTGGGTAAAAACTTTTGTTTGTAGAATTGTAATTAGCTTTAATTTCCATTCCTGAAACACGAATTAATTCTTATATTGCACTTGTTTGTTACATTTTAAAATTAATGGATTCCAATTTTCCTTCATTAAACAGATTGAAAATGTGCAAAATATAAAACTTGTAATTACTAATACTAGTTTAGAGATTGCAAAAAAAAAAAACACTTTTATTGAAAATTTTTAATATAATTTCAATATCTCTATCTTGAATATAATATTCTGATGCATTTATGAGCATTATCTTTAGTTTTAGCACTGTGCAACCAAACTCTCTTTATTGTCTTATTGCAACAATAAAACAAATGTTATAAGAGGAATTAATCTTTCTTTGACTTCTTAAGACTTCTTCTTTGACATTCTGTCAATTACGTATTTTCATATTTATGTAATAATTTTTTTAAATGTGTTTTTAGAATCATTGGAGGTCCAGGTGAATTTAGAACAAATTCCTGGCTGGAGAAAATTATTGTTGTAGGTTTAGATAAAGCTCCAAAATCTTTAAAACTTTCAAGCAAAAGTAAGTTATTTTGTAATATAAAATACTCTTTTTTACTATAAAAAATAACTTTTAGTCAGTTATCTTGAGTTTTTAAATTGTGACACCTGTGTTATCCAGAAAAAAAAATGTTCAAGAGTAAGTTAGAGAGAGTTTCCAATTATTAGTTTTCAGAAGTGGAACTTAAAATGCGAAATGAACTTCAAAACAGAGAAATCTGCAATTATTTTATCATTAACATATTTATGCTATACATATATATATTATTATATTTATAAGCCTTCAAAAATTATTGATTGAGTATTTAACCTTAAACATTCTCCACATAATTTTTAATTTTTTTTATACTACATATGGGTAAATTTGACTCAGGTTTTTAAAAAAACTTACTAATAAAATTTTAATATATTACAATGAATTTCTTTATGATTTTTTCCCATTTATTTCCACGAATTTAAAGTTTGCTCAAACTTTTTGCCATCTTCATTGTTACATTTAATTATATTGTAACATCTATATTGTTTCAAGAAAAAAACGGCAATCGGGGAAAGATCTTCCAAATTCTTATCCCCTTGCAAATTTTACGTTATTATTATTAGTTTAGCTTGAAAAATCTTTTTGTCTAACCAGCAGTTTCAGTTATTGGCAGTGTTGCAAAATAATCAATTTTCTGAATTCAGGATACATGAAAGAGTTGTCATGTCACATTCTCTCCATTTTTACCTGATATATTTGTACAAGCATATATCATTTTCATGCATGATAAATACTGCAATTAACAAAACGTCTACAATAGTTTAGATAGTTTTCACAAAACATTTGCAAGGAGTACTTTCGCTCCTGGTAAACTTTTTGACAAGTGAAATTCAAATCCAATGTAAAAAATATGCATGTAGATATGTGTATTGGAATGATATTGCATAGCTGCTGGCACTCTTTATTTTTAAAGTGGGTTTTCAAATTTTTTACCATTTAGTCTACTTCCATCCTCTCTCTTTCTCTCACTTTTTCCTTTCTTTATAATTGCATAAATATGAAAGTTTTTCCCGAAAAACTAGACTATTGCAATCACATATATATTTTTGTTTTAGATACTGACATCAAAAAAATTGCTATATATTTCATTAGATTTTAAAGTTACAGTTTGAGGCTTAAACATATTTTATAACTTTTGTTGAGTATTTAAGTAATATTTGGGTGCTTTAGTGGATATTTACTTATATCAATTATTAAATGTACAGTTTTGGCCTCTGAGTCATTTTATTTTTTTACCTTTCTCAATAATTTTACATTTCTCAAATGGTTAATTTCTAATAAATGTATATTATTTTGAGTAAAAATGCTTCCTTATAGTGCGCTAATAAATTAGCTCAAATATTATACGGTCGAACCTGTTTATCTTGAATCTCGCGGGAAAGGCAAAAAATTTGGGATAAAGAGGTTTCGAGTTATACATGTACTTTAAAAATTTAAATTTAATTAAGAAATTCTATTAAAAGTGTTTTAATTATTTTAAAAGAAAAATATCCGCATTTCTGTAAATTAATTATACCACATACATTTATTTACATAATTAAGTAATCTATTATTACATCTATTAACATAATTAAGTAATTACATATTAAAGTAATCTTTCTAAGATTTTTGATGTCTTACCTTCTTTGCTTCAATAATTCTTTTAAGGTTAGAAAGAGTAGCAAATTCCTCGTAGCCAACATTTTCCTGGGATTCAAGAAAAGTGTGTCAGAGTTTTACAGCTTTTTCTGCCTCTTTTACACTCACTTTTGGTTCATAAATAGAGTCTTCAGCTTCTTCATCGGATATTCCTTTGACATTATCTATTATTTCCGCATCTGTCAATGTTTCACACGTTGCCAGGCAGTTGTCCACTTGGAGAAAAATCTTCAGAATTAATTTCGACATTATATCCTGATTTTATTGCATTCCATTCTTAAAAATCAGGCATTGCTTTTCCAGTGTCAATAGTTTATTCTTCTTTACTGGTGCCTTCCACCTCTTGTTCATCATCTTCACAGCTATTCTTAAAACCAGCCTTTTTAAAACCATTTTGGATAGTTTTCAGAGACACATTCCTCCTGGCATAATCAGTCAATTTGATAGAACACATTTATCTTTGGAAGAGAACTTTTTTCATCAATGGCTGCTACAAGGTTCCATAACAGCTGTTTTCTATTGTTCTTTTTGAAACTCCTAATTATCCCTTGATCCATTAGTTTTGAGGTGGTAAAATATTTTACATTGACGTTTTTCAAGTTTGGAAGATTGTTATGTGCATTACAGTTGTTTATGAAAAGAATAATTTTCCTCGAATTCCAGAACTCCAATGATTATTTTTTCTTATTAAGCTTGATATTCTGTGGTTCTGATTTACTGAGAAAAAGAGATATTTTCTAGATCATGGTCTTCATTGAGCATTTTCTTTTCATAAAAAAAAAATTAAAGCTTTTATCTTTCCAGTCATTTTCATCAATTTTCAAACATACCCTCGCTTAACAAAATTTCAAGTTAACTCTCTTATCTGGATAGAATTCTTCACTTAAATCAAATTTTTTTAAATGAAATATATTTTTGTACTAAAATTGTAATTTGTATAGAATAATTATATTCAGTTCACTTAAAGCATCTTTTATATTAAAAATAAAATGACAAAAATCACCAAAAATGCAAAAAAGAAAAAAGAAATTTCCCTTGTACTGTATATTTAATATAAATAAGCATAATAGTTAAAGGCATTAAGTATTTCAGTTGTTGTATTGTTATTAAATAATATTAAGTGATTTTATAGAATGATTATCATTTTTTCTGATATTAAATTGGTATGTGTAAAAAAATACCCAATTTAGTTTTTAATTTATTATCTTAAAAATAAATATTACTCATATATTTCTTTATTTATTTTGCAGGTGTTAAATCTAGTGACCTTATTTTTACATTTGATGAAGCTAAACATAAATTAGTTATAAGAAAACCTGGCATTAGTATGGCTGAAGAATGGAGAATAGACTTCTAGATTAATTTTTTAACTTCAAATATTGATTGTACGTCATCTATCTTTTTGTTAACAAAAAAAGAAATGATCTAAACAGTTTTTCATAAATGATAGAAGAAAAAGAAGTTGAGCTAAAGTTATAAACCCCATTTTCTCTTAGTTCATTTTTATATATTATAAAAAAAAAATTTTTTTTCCTTGCCGACTTGCATCTCAAGCAAATAATACTGTGCAAATTGACATATAATACTGTGCAAACTGACATTTTAATTATAATTTATTTATTTCAGTTATTTAAAATTTAGGTATAATTTATTAGAATTTTACAGTTGTACAGTTTTTCTAAAAAATGTTTCTCAAATTTTGAGTGCAATGCTTTTTCCTTTGCTATTATTCAATGATCATTTTTATTATTTAAATTTAGGTTAAAACTTATAAATGGTGTATTTGAAAAGATCAAAAATGTGACATATGTTCTATTAAATAATGATGCATCTTGTTATGGTTTTACATACATTTAATATTTTATTGCAACCTTGTTGACATTTGTATGTTTATGAAGCAGTAAACTCTAATCTGAAACAGATTTTTATATATTTAATTCTATGATTCACAAAGTCTTCTGGGATTGATCATGAAATATTCCTTATATATTGTGTATTACAGACTTATTGTCGAAGGCTTCTATGAATTTTATATTAAGTGTCCGTACAAAATATTTTTTTAAATACTGGTGCACTTTTTTTAAAAAATTTCATATCTTAAATGATGTCAAAGCTTTTTTTGATAATAATTAGAATATAAAAGATTTGATTGAAAAGATTACATTTGTATGTTTATGAAGCAGTAAACTCTAATCTGAAACAGATTTTTATATATTTAATTCTATGATTCACAATGTCTTCTGGGATTGATCATGAAATATTCCTTATATATTGTATATTACAGACTTATTGTCGAAGGCCTCTATGAATTCTTTAAGTGTCCGTACAAAATATTTTTTTTAAATACTGGTGAACTTTTTTTTAAAAATTTCATATCTTAAATGATGTCAAAGCTTTTTTTGATAATAAATAGAATATAAAAGATTTGATTGAAAAGATTTTAAAGCTTTAAGATTAAAACTGCTTTAAAGTGTTTCATTTAACCTGTACATTGTTAATTTCTTTCTAGCAATGTGAGTTATTTAAATTTTGAAAACCAAAACTTGGACTGCACAACATAGAATGGTTATTAATTTTTTCTCACTATTATATCACAACAGTACAATTAGTCAGCTTTGACTTTGTGTTTTGATGAAAACAAATTTCCTTAACCTCTTTTTAACAAAACACAAAAGAAAATACTGCATTTTTTAGAGCATTCGTTTTAAATACATTAATGAGAAATTTTCAGGTTATTAGTTTATTTTTATATTCATCTTTTTAATTAGCAATTTCTTTGAGAGTTCCGTGGGAATGTTTCAGAAAAATTGAAACATAGCTCAGTTTTTTAGTACTTTATCTGATACATTGAAAATTTTGTTTTTTTATATCTGTATGTTTTGATATATTCTTTTATTTCACTTCATCTTGAAAATTTATGAGGGTTCATGAAAGCAATGACCAGCTATGAGTAAGTAGTGAAAATATTTGCTAACAAATCAACGAAGAAACTTTTCATTTTGCATCCACTATAGAAAAATATTATCTATTAAATTGAGATTTAAAAGTATTCTACATATATATTTTCTAATTATTTGCATATTTTTTATTTCTAGTTTAAATTGTTCTTTCTCTCTTTTTTTTCTTTCTTTTCCTCATGTTAAACAGCACCACTTAATCTCGTATCTTTCAAAGGGTATAATTATTTTAGAAATTTCAGTGCTGAAAAAAAACTGTTGTCTTAATTATTAATATCTTAACTTTTTCCGGTAATTAATTTTTTTAATTCCTAGCTATTAGAACATCAAAATTTTATTGTTGTATGCACTATTTTTTAACAGAATTTTTGCAAGTTTGATTCATTTAAATAATTTTGTTTAAATGTAGTTTTTTTTTATCAAGTTGTATCAATAGATGGCAATGTCATCAACTGGTAGCAAATAAATTTTTCTCTCAAAACATTTTTTAACTTTTATCTCAAAAACTAGTACAAGAAATAGTATAACATAGTCCTAACAATTTTATTAGCTTAATTTAAATATATTGTTTATATTAAGTATATATTAATTAAAAACACACCCCTAGGTGAACATGTGATGAATAATTTTTTAATGTGTAAGTGCCTTAAGAGAAGTATGTAATTGCTGATAATATGTGCTCTATGAGTATATGTTGAATGCTAAAATTAACTTATCTCCTTTTTAATTAAAATATTTTTAATCCATATACATTTATAAACCATTTCTAAGATCAATGGAGAAGTAATTTCCAAGTTAAAAAATACTTAAATAATATCTCATTGTTTAATTAACTTCATACTATCTGAAGCAAAATACTTCATTATTATTCATAGTGAATTCCCTAAATATAAACTTTGTTCCATATAATGAGAAAAAATTGTCAAAAATGTATCAGTATAACCTCTAACACAATGAGAATTATAAATGATTACCTAATTAAGATTTTGAAACAATTCACATGTTCAAGTTTGATTTAAACCAAGTAAAACTAGTTTGGATGCATTTATTTTATTAGCTTTTGCTTATCCTATAATTATTCTGAAGAACTGCTATTGATGATACTGACCTTCGATCATTCATTTTAATTACATCTTTAAATTTAATGAACTGAGACTCTTCAGATTCTGTTGACTTTATACCGATATTATCATAGATCTCTACTGTATTGGATTTTTGCTAGTTTCTCCTGAATTTTTTTTTTTTTTTTTTTTTTTTTGTAATTTTTAGAAATTTCTCAACTTTTGGAAGAATATATTCCTTTCTATAGAAATAATTTTTTTTTGTCAGATTGTAACTTGCTTGAAACTTATTACAACTAAGTAATGAAGTGAATATCATCTGTAATTGTTTCTTTATATTTACAATTTTTTTTAATGAGAATTTTCTTTCTTTAAATCAATTTAAAAAAATACATTTTTTTTTCTCACAAGCATTTTCCTACTTAAGTGTTATTTAAAGCTACTATAAATAAAAATTACTATTATTTAAATAATAGGTACTATTTTATTATTTGAAATGATTTTTGTAACTACTACTATTCATAATAAGTAATTGAAGAATATAATAAAGCATAGTTAAGTTCAAGTTAATACATTTTATTGGTTATAAAAAAATTCCCTTTTAGAGTTATGTCATATATATTTTAATAAATTTACAACCTAATGACTTAATTTTTTACCACAATCATATCAAGACAATGATTAAAGTAATCCCCTTATCTGATATACTCCAAAAAACGAAGTCTTCTTCTGATAACTTTTTTTTTAGTTCTTTAATATCTAGTTCATAGCATACTCAATCCAGTGTTGTCTATGGTTTAAAGTTCCTACAGCAAGTTAGTGTGATTAAAAGGAAAGTCCCTACAGGTCTTTCTGGGTGTTGTTGTGTGTCGCACATGTACTTGCTCATCTCGATGTCGAAAGGGATGAACCAACCGGTGATTGTTCATATGGCTGAGATCCCCCTGCACTTTTGTAGTCGCTACTCTAAAAAAGTGTTTGTTAGGGAATTTCATGCTGTAGTCTATCTAGTTTATCTCATAAATGTAATCATCTGTAATTATCAGGATCATTCATGTAATATATATTACTCTTGTAGAATTTTTTTCTTCTGTAATTTCAGCATCTGAATTTCTCAACTCACTAGAGAACTTGTAAAGTGCTTTGGAGTCATACGTATTAAATCAGTATAGCTTATAGTTTTCTGTAAAATAATTCTCTTTGTTCATTTTTCTAAATATCTATGTTAATGAAAATTCACTTTAAATGCTTTGGAATGATGCATAATTTTAAATTAATTCTTTCGATTTTTTTTTTTATAGGATGCGAGTGTTTCTTGAAAACAGCTCTTAATATACATTTTTAGAATCCTTATTAAAAGTGAAATAAAAGTATGCACGCTGAGGGTCACAAGTTAATTATTAAGCAAGGAAGAAACAAAACCACTATTGATAAATGAGCCTTCACAGTAAAAGAGGTTATATGTACAGCGTATCTGCACACCTGGAAAGTCATAAATTTTGGTATTGAACAAAATTTGTCATGAGATTTAACCTATTTTTTTTTAAAAGAAAATTTATAGAAAGTCGTGGATTTAGGTCACGCCAAAAAATCTAATTTTTAAAATGGATTCCTCCCCTCCCAATTTCATAATGTTCTGAATATCTGAATTTGTAGCAAAATCCCCACTTACAGTCATAATTTATTAAAATATAAAATGTTTTTATCATGTTCTTTAAAAATTATGGTTTTCTTTCAAAAATGAAAGAAAAAGCAACATTTCTAGAGCAAATTATCTTTTAAATCTCTGTGATTACAGAATTTTTATTATTTATTTATTTTTTATTTTATAAATTTAAAATTCTAGCTGAAGCAAGCCAGTCATTGGCAAATTTTTTTAATTTCAAAATGAGAACAGAAAAATCAGGAGTATTTCTTTCCTTTCTGATAAACAAGAAAAGTAACTTTAGAATATAGTTTTGCATAAAAAAAAATAATTTGCTTTTATATTTTTATTTCAGCTATTTTATTGCATCAGCTCTTTCTTTACTCTGTTTTTTAAATTTAAAATCTATAAATATGAAGATACAGAGTATAACAGTTTTGGTTATACTTATCGTTTCAATTGATGTTATTATAATGCTTTTTTTTAATTTATTGTAGTTTTTTTGTCGGAGAAAATAGTATTTTCGTTAAGTCATGGAAAATTCTTGGAATTAGTCATGGATTTGAAAATCTAAAATGTAGCAGATACCCTGTATGTAATAAACAACAAAACATGAGGAAATAGAAAGGAGTTGAAGGGTGATTATTAGAAACACCTTCAAGTTTCATCCTCCAATAAAACCTCTCTTGTTGCTTTTTCATTCGCTTCCTCTACTGTAATTTATCGAATTTCGATAGCTTTTTTGTTTTTCCCTCACTTAAATATTAGTTTACAACCCTTAAT